AACCATTCTATGATACTATGATTCCATGAAATCTCACCCTGAAACCAAACCACAGCTATTCCAGCTCCTGAGAAGGAAATTAACTCTATCCCAGTAAAACCAGGACATGCACCCACCTACCCACTGCCAGGGTCCTGCTTTGGTTGGTTGGGAGGTTGAGGATGAAACTCTACAGCCTCTGGTGTGACTCAAGAGTGAACAGTGTTGTATTTGATCTTGCAGATTGTGGAGGAGACAGCTCTCTTACCTGTGGCTTTCTTCCCGTGCCTGAAGGAGCTGACATTTAACAACAACCCTCTCACCACCACCCGGCGCGGTACAGTATGAGCTGGACACTCCTGCTCTGTCCCTCCTTCATGGTTAGCTCTCTGGGACAGGGACCACATTGCTTCTTGGTGTTCAGACACTCCTGCCACACTGGAGGAGGAGCTTTAGGAGGCCCTCAAGGAGTTGCTTTAATCATTTCTGCTCTCTAAAGAACAATGCAGATGAACACTGATCTTACAAACACCGTTAATGCCCTGCTGCTGCTCCTGGCCCCATCAAAGTCCTTAACAACCCATCCATGACTGTGGCAGCGAGGTCTCAAGCTAGATTTTGCTCCCCAAATGGTGTTTGTCCCACAAAGGGTTTGTCTGAAGCTGGTCCAGGTCCTGCAGCAGCTTTCTGAGCAGAGGGGATAAACCTTAAATATGCCCCTGGCCTTCATAGTTTGAAGGTAGCCAGAAGGCTGCTGATGAAACCTTGTGGTGGTGTTGCTCCCTGCATGAGTTATGATTAGACCAGTCAATAAAACAGGTCAGGATTGTTCTTCTGGCCTTGGTGGCACAAAGCCCACTCTGGTGTGTGTCCTCAGGGCTAAAGCAGCTCCCCACAAAACCGTGTGGCTTCTGCTGTGGTCCCTAAACTGGGCCTGGGCTTGGTTGGCACAGGCCAGAGCGTGCTGCCAGGGCACGGGCTCTGCACCGGCTGCTTGGAGCTGTTTGGAGCTCTGATAAATCTCTGCTTCTCCAGGGCAACCACCTCTGCTGACCCAGGTCCTCCAGCACAACCTGGGGATTAAACTTGTCCGACAGCAGAGCCTAGCTGTGGAGAGGTGGCACTTCTCCATCCCTCTCAAAGCCAGCCGCAAGGTAAGGAGGGACACACCTGGGGAGAGCGGGGTTTTTCTTGCCTAAGGCAGGGATGGAACCCTTGCAGGGCAGGAACTGACTTGCTGGGGAGCACAGGAAGGGCTGGTGGGACACATGAGCCAGCAATGTGCCCTCACAGCCCAGAAGGCCACCTGTATCCTGGGCTGCACCCAGAGCAGC